TAAAAAACATAACAATGCTATGAATTTGCTGTTGACAAACTGTGATTGTTTTTTAGATTAATGAAAACATTTATATTTTTTTTTACTACCTGTTATTTTAGTGAAACTGATGATGGTGGAAAACACCGAAACGTTTTTTAATTGATAAATCGACAACAAATGACTGAAGCCCAGGAATTGATTTTGATTTGGAATTACACAGAATGCTTAAAACTTAAACTTCAAGTTAATTGGCAAAGTCAGAATAAGAATTCTGGAATGCTATTCTTTTCTTCTACTTCTTTGAGGAGTCTAGACATCAATAGACATCTTACTGAGACGAAAAAAGGTGTTCTGCATGGATAAAATAAATATTAACACTAATGAGGTGAATAACCGGAATAATAGACCACAATCGCAGATGTCAAGACAATTGAATTTGCATAAAATGAGTCAGAAAAGCACAAAAACACGCATCATCAAATCGCTTGAGAATTCATTGATCATATTTGAACGCAACTCATGAATAAGATGCTTGAAACAATTCTGAACAACGATTATTTCCCGTTGCACAGAGAGAAGTCAGATTAGAATCCACCTATCAATTCTGTAAGTTCTTTCTGTAAGTAAAAATAAAAGTATGTATTCTCAGTATTATCTGCATATTAAAACTATGTAAAAGAACATGAACAAAACGAATCCATGCCACCGTTCAGATTTTTTTAAATTAGATAAAGTGAAAAGAATCAATTAAGCATTTAACCAAGTCCTTTTTATTGCAACAATCCGTTCGAATGAAAAATGTGCATCAAGCGAAAACTGCGAAAATATATCGTCACAACCAAGTTGCAGTAAAAAGTTCTCGACTAAAAGCATCCTAAAGAAGATTTGAGTGCTTTCGGGTAATTCCTTTTTCAGGATCCACAATTACTCTCTCCCAAGTCCACTCTCCCAAAAACAGATTTTTAGTAGAGTATGATTCTATATGTACTCGTATATATGGTATTTGAAAGTTTTATCCGAACACGGTAACGAAGCAGACGAACGCTTTCCAAATTTCTCCTTGATGTATGAGCCGGAAAATTAATCACAAGCAAAATAAGGAGTCGGACGGTCGTAGTTTGGCGGGGCCAAAAGATTGTGCGCCTCAACTCATTAACACGCGTTCTACACAATGCTACCAACTCCCAACAAAATTAATCAACTGGCGTTTAGAAAGGTGACAAGGCGACCAACATTAATCAGAATATAATTCTATTATAGCCAGTTGCTGAACCGGCTCCCGTTTATTTCAAATCATTTCTGAATGTTTAGCTATAGCGTGTAGGCAGACGATCCTCGATTGATTTGACGGAGAAGTCCCAATTTGAGCTTCGTTTCAGGCTAAACCTACACCACTGCGATTGTACGAAAATTGCATTATCATACGAGCATTCAGCTCCAGTCGATCAACAGCAAAAACTTTAATTAAATTATTCAAGCTTAACTTTTTCGGCATACACTATAGAAGTCTGGGGTGGTCTCTGACCAATTCCAGCTTCTTACCAATACCAAATGTTGTCCGTTTGGTTAAAATTCGAAGAATTCAAGAAAACCAACTGATGATCCACATAAAGAAGAAAATAGATCATTTTACTATCGAACGAAAAATGTATAACCAAAATTGAGAACATCAGTATTCAATGGGCACAAAAAAGTTCAGATTTTATAACACAGCCTGGTGTTAGCAAGAAAATTTTATAACCCGATTTCTACCGAAAGGTTTATAAAACGGCGAAAAAATAGCTGTTTTTTAACCATTAGGTAAAGTGAAATTCCTTCAACAGGGTCTCAAAGCAACGATTTTTCCAGTAATCAACAGTTGAATTATTATGCAGCTGCGCTTGCTACAGAAGAATCGCGCACAGGCCGTGGACGCAGCTCCTTAACTAGTTAATTTTCAAATGAATAAACTTCAAGTTTATTTCTTAAACTTAAAAAAGAAAAATTTTCTAATAAATTTCTAAACTCTTAGATATTTCCTGGAGGGAGACCATCTAAAATACCGTTGAATATCTCATTCCTCTATAAGCCGTTTCCAAACTACCGAATGCTTAAAATCAAATTCGAAATTCTCGCTTTTCGGTGCTGTTAACAACTTTTATTACATCGCCTAGAATTAAAACATCCAATGTCGCGTTGGAAACTGCGGATTCGACCCAGTAAAAAGAGAAATTCAAAATTGCCAGACCACAAAATGCGACGCTGGGAAGTTTCTTTATATAAAATGTGCTAAATTGAAGGAAATAGTTTGTCACCGATTTAGGGACAAATCCGGAAATATTTTATACGTACAACAAGATGGTCAATTATGTACAACTTACCAGCAACTAGGAAAAGTGTTTGTTGGTAATCTTTATTTGCCTAATAAAAAGTCTTATTTCGCCAGAAGTGATAATTCGTATTGGGGATTTGATATCAATATTTGCCAATAGAAAGTACAATTTATTGCCCAGTATACGGTATAACAGCTTACGTGAAAGCGGATATGAATAATTATATTGAAATAATTCGCAATGTCAATTGGTAAAAAAAATCGATATTTAATTAGCGTGATCGGATTGTACGTTTGCAAATATTAACAACTATTTAATACGGACCCTAAATATTGTATGAAAAATACTTAGTTCGCTCAGTTGCATTAAATACATAAAATAATTGCTAGTTTATATATAATTTTATTCGCATCAGTAATTACATCCTATGCCTGTTAATGCATGTTAATATTGATTATATTAGTAAATATTCTATATTAAATGAAATACGAATAAATCAAATAGTGTTTAGTTGCAAATAGTTTGGATCAATTTATCAAAGCACTGAGTGAAATACGAGGTTAATTTGGCTAATTCTCATAACAAACCAATAGCCACTTTTTGTTCCTTTTAACTTTTTAGCTTTGATAAATATATGTAAAATTTTCGGTAGTTCTGAACGACGACGAATTCTCCTCAAAGGTTGATATCATAGATGTTCAATAATGATTTTTCTTCAACAGAATTACAATATTTTTATTCAAGTTATCATTTTTCTTCGTTCTGTAAGGACGCATTTACCGGACTTAAAACGTAAATTACTATTATGTGTCTCATATACTCTCAAATTATGTAATTTTATATGTTTGAAAAATTGAGCTGATTTTCTAGAACCCGTCAATTATGTATAAAAAATGCGATATCAGGGCGATTAAAACAAAATTAATGTGAATAAACAGGGCTCTAAAATGCAGAAGACCAAACTTTGTCCATTTTGTATATTTCTGGTACCGAAATAGTTTTGTAATAACTATGAATAAACATGTATAAATATCATATAATTGGAGCAGGGCATTATAATAGAAACAAGAAAAATTTAACTTTTAAGGAAAACTTTTTGTTGTAAAAAGTCAAGTCAGTTGAAATCAATGAGAATTTCGAGTGACAAGAGATAGAATTGTCGTCAATTTGCACATGAAGGTACAGATAATTATCTAATGTCTACAAAAAACAGAATCTTTGTAGTTGTAAATTGAAGTATAGTCTTTAATTTAATATTTTTTTAAATAATAATTCCAGAAACCGTCCTTATATCACTCTCAAGCGAAAAATTCCGGTTACTCCCAATAAAACATTCAGGTCAGATTCTTAAACAACGAACTGGGGACAAAGTGAAATAATATATTTTTGTAAACATTTTTTCTCTTCCCCAAGCTTCTAAAATCGAAATCTCCAACACTGCACAAGAACAATAACCCAAATTATCTCTGATTATTAAACAGCACTAAAGTTACAAATGAAAATTGTGTATCTGTAAAAAGTCGTTGGACCGAAGAAAATATAGGCAAAAATTCAACTGTGCTTCTACGGGATTTATAGGCGGAAATACTACTCGAAATCAGTGAAATCGGATTTATTAACGAACTATGGAATAGCAATTGCCACAGCCGGATATTTTCGACGTCTATCATGTTTGCGCTTACGTAAAAATGTCGAAAAGTGCAAGCCACTGCGGATATTTAAATGGCTTAAAAAGAAACAGCTTTAGAATGTTTGCACTGAAGGAATTACGATGCTTTTTGCCCGAACAAAACGTCCTTAACTGTCCGTACAACACGTTTCCAAATTAAAAGGTACAAAAAATTTGCCGAAGGTTGTTTAAACGACTTAATATTTATTCAGCGCGCGGTAGCAAGAAAAAAGTAACTTAATTAGATTTAACGCTTATAACTTAAGAAGATGAGTAAATAGCAATTAAAATTTGCCGAACGAGAATAGCGAACGGGACTGAGAAAAGAAATTGGATAATGGGTTTAGGGATAAACCTGCCATATAGAATGCCGGAAGATAATTTCACTTATCTATTTTGTTCTTAGGTGATTCGCTCCTAAAGTGGGAAGTCTAAATTAAATTACAATATTTATTTCCCAACACTTTCTTAGAAACCGAGAAAAATGCCAACATTTTTTATGAGTAAAGTTTTACCAGTTTTTCCAAACAAAATTAATGTTTAATTTCTTATTAAGATCTTGTAATCTGTAGGATTTGTAGGCGTGGAGGCAAAGACATGTTTTGCCTCCACCGGTTTTCTAAGATTGTGCTCGTCCAAAGTAGCAAAGTGCAACTCAAATGAGCCAAACTACCGGAAATCGCCCAAACTTTTACACAAAAGAAACCTTCTAGTTATAAAAATATAGAATTTGTAAGCAATCTATGACATATATTAGAATTCCCTAACAAAATGATAAACCAAAACCTTTTGACCTACTTCGTTTCCATTCGCTTCTTGTATCGGTAAATACGTATCAGCCGTTCAGATCAATCTTTCCAGTGTACAGACTTCAATAACAATAATCGAGGTAAAACCATTTATTTGGTACAAGGCAATCTCAACCTCGCAAATAATATTAAAATAATGAATATCATATGCCCCTTAAGTAAGGAACTTCGCCTCTTCCATTTCATACTTCGGTCCACGTGGCTCCATTTCAGTTTCTATGGAAAGCGTTTTGATTGATCGATATCGTGCAAATCGCGGTTTTTGACGTGTCGTTTTAAATCAAATTATTCGTTCGAGCAACAAGAATTTGAGCGCAAAGTGTCTTTTCAGGCCACTTCAAGTATTCGCATTGTCTCATTGTTTCGCTCAAAATGGTAGATTGTCCCGGTCCGGATGGGGCGACAGTTCCTCGACTACGAACCTCCGATTTTTACAGAACTTGTCAGCTTCCGAAGAGATTTGATTATCCCAGTTGGTTTTATGGATACGGAGTTGATAGAAAACCGCCCGAGCATCCGTTCTACCGTACAACTTCAAGTGATTATGGCAGGTATTTGCAAATATGTTTCCGCTAAAGCATTTTTGTTCAAGCAGGGTTAATGCTCTTTCGTAAAAAAATGTTGAATGATCCGAAAGTTTTTCAGAAAATACGGCCAAGATTTCAATATAGCGTTCAATAGAACTAATAATGTGAAAGCTATGACGAATACAACTGAAGACCAAAAATTCCTAAGTGCAAATAAAAGCTGATTCACATTATATTGACTATAAGTATTAAAAATATAAACCACGAAACGTTGGTTTCTGCATACTAAATGGACGTTCACTCAGAATTAACTATGTTTCCAAACAAAGTTTCTTCGCAAAAATCATTAAAATAAAGTCAGTGAGTTCAAACTTATCCGTACTTTTACTCTTAATTTTGTATGTAGATTGCTTGCTCTGAATTGAGATAGTAACGAGACTTCGCTTAAAACAGTTTGTTGTTGAGAGTTTGAAATTGTCATTAGAGTCTAATTTCTTGTTCGGAATTTTTCGTTTTAGATAATCATACGGCGTCAGGCTACTAGACCGACAAAGGCAGATACCTAATTCTAGATATGACTTAATCACATTTTTTGATCAGAAATAATCTCCAGAAATTGCTCATTGTCTCAATTATTCCGTCGTTTTATTTATTTTTATTTAATTATTCCACAAAAACATATTTTCTACTTTAGGGTAAAACTAATCAATAGTCTCCTTAAAAGAGCGAACAGTCCTCAAAAACGGAAAATTAATACTTTGTTCTAATTTTACAAATATCTGATCTACGGATATCAATGAAAAAAAAAGGGTTGCTTATAACTGAAAATAAAATCTAGCCCAGTTTGGGCTTCACTGTGGAAAATCAGGAACAAATTAATTTTGAACATTCCCAATTAATAATCGTTTTTTATAGATACCCACCGACAATTCACACCGTTCCAACATCATTTTTCCCGAATACCCAAGACTTCACTAAGGCACTTGCTAAGGCGGGCATGTATAGAAATTATTCCCTAAACACTGGCTTAGAAAGTAATGAAAAATAATATAATATGTTTCATTTTGATATACCTACTATGTATTTTATTTGTAGAACGTTTATGTTATATATTTTATGAAAAATAAAATTTCCAAAATGTTCTAATGACTTTTATTGCCCCGACAAAAAAAGACAAGTATTACATAATATGCAAATGGCATTCAATATATAATACTTCTTATTGAAACTGTAAGTACCCTCATTTATCATACTCAGATTTTGAAAAATATTACAATCGGGCAAGGCGAGATGAGTTGGAGCCTTGTTTCAGATTAACATGATATATTACCATTCGATGCAATTTTTCACATGATCTATACTTATAAGTTTCGAAATGCAAAATGATGCTTTGCAGCAGACCTTACTTGATGCATAGTAAATTCGATGCATGCTTTGGATGCCGGTTCAGTCCATATTAACCCAATGTAAATATTCCCACAATATTTACATATTTATAAGAAATAACATCAAAATGTGTAAATTAGTTGACAGTGATAAGAGTTATAACATAAAGCTGGACACATGCGGTGCTCTACCGTTGTTTACAAAGAAATATTTGGAAATTTCTTGCTATTCTTTAAAACATTTTCAATTAGAAAACATATAAACTTTTTCTTATACAAGCGAGACAATTACAGATTTATTTTAGCTACGCTCCCACAAAACCGTCAGCAAAAGTTTTACTTTGCGATGAACTGTAATAACCAAGTTTCCAATACAATTTTAAATTAAGTCTAAATCTTCAGCAAGGGCAAGTGGTGTTATTGACGTTTGATCGAAAATAAAAAGAAAATCAAAATTATAGTGGCTTTTTCAAGAAAACGAAAGATGTCTTGAGAGGCGGTTTTGATCAACTTTCGTTAATTACTTAATCCAACTGGACGACTCCTCAATATTTCAAGCTACACCTCAAATGCCTCAGGTTCTAGAAAAGTTACCTAACTCCATAAAGTTCCCAAAGTTAATTTTTTGTTTTAATTAACACATGCAAATATTAAGCGCAGAGTCTCTTTCTGAGAGGAATTAGAAGGCTTCTTAGAAGATACGGAAGCACTATGTGTAAACGGAAACAATACATTGACTTATAATTGAGAGATTTGCAAAAAAAGCAGCATCCAATAATTTGAAAGGTGTTAACTTTTCCATTGTTATCTTTAACAAATACCTTCTTAACATACGATATTTCAGAGTAACTCATTATGGTGTAAACCCAACTAAGAAGTTTGAGAGAAAAGTTGCTAAAATACATAGTAAAAATTAAAACATTAAATTATTAGGTAACGCAAAAGTATGTATCAGGTCAGCAGAAATTGATTGCAAAAGGCCGAATTGCAATTAACAAAAACCTCGTCAATATCAAAAGTAAAGAACGTATAATACATTCTTTCAGTTTACTCTGCAGCTTAAATTAAAAAGTTATGTTGTTATGTTCAACTAGACACAAATTAGAAATATGTGATCAATAAATTATTACATTACTTATTTTATTGAAGCACTAAAGTAATGTCTAAATTTATGTATCTTTAATTCAGTAATTAAAATGCCCCAGTTTTAAGTGTTTGTCAAATAGAAGATGAAAACTTGGCGACATTCCTCTGAAGAATTAGAAGAGGTTTATTTGCTGAGTATAGTAGGATTTGGTTTGTTTGGAAAGGTTTGCTTAAAGTTCCTTTCACAAACTTGCACAAAAGAAAATTTATATATTAATCTATAATAATAAGTATTTAACAGAGAGATAACATAACATATAATCATATATAACAGAGAGATAACAGTAACAGAATCTTCAGTTTTTCATTAGCAAAACGACGGAATTTTTCCAGACGACCAAAAACAACATATTATTCTAATAATAATACTTGTCCGTTAGCAAAAATTAAAGTAAATCTCATAAAAGAGCAACATTCGAACTTTAAGACATTCATTAAATTACATGTGTTAAATAAATGAAAATCTAATTAAAATCACTAGCAACTTTACAAATCTCTAAATTGTGTTAAGGGGAGTAGTAAACAATATAAAATTCTAAACCGGTTTTACAAATATGTATTTTTATCTTTCATGTGTTTTATTCACGGTTTGTGTGTCAAGAAATAAACAGATTCTCTCAAACTATCTTATAATGAGACCGGCGTTTCAAATGAGTTAACTTTTCAGAAACGTTGTCAAACGACAACAGTTTAAATTTTTGTGCAACAATTTAAAAATGTTGAAAATATAATCCAGGTTATATCAGCTATAATAATACCAAATAGGCGTCAAGCTATTTTAAAATAGTGTAAAATATAAAAAAAAGCTATTTTAAATATTTTAAAATCTCAAGTCATCCCACACGACCTCATTTTGCATTACCTTTTAGATATAATAATTTTTCACCATCAACTAAAATATGATAATACTAAGGAAAATTACTTTACCAAACTACCGTAATTTTGTAGCAGATTTGTATAATTCAATTCCGGTAGATTAAATTGCGTTCATTTGCAGCAAAAATAACTTATTCACTAAAGATAACTCCGACATGGATGAAACCCCAGCGAGACAGTAGTGCTGTCTGTGACCGAAGAATAATTGTAATAGCTTTAATTGCTCATAAAGAAAGTAATGCTCATAAGTAAGAGACTAAATAATTAGATAATAAATCACTCGAGTTCACACCAAATTTAACCAAATTGGCCGCCTATTCCCTTTCATTTAAACTAGTTAGTGTCCCAAGAAACTCACCGAGAATGGCGAAATTTATGTTATTGCTCGAACAAGAGTCGTGTATAACTTCGGTTTCATTCCTTTCTGGAAAACACTTAGCTAAAAGCGAACATCTTCCTTCGTGTGGGATGAAAAATGGAAAAGGAAACCCGCTAGCTCGGTTTTATTCGCCTTATTACAATAGGAAAAAGAGCTGTAGTTTTGGTAATAGATCATTAACTGGGTTAATTGGGCTCCGCTGTGATATCAATTAATCTTCGGAGCAGTTTTTGTTAACGAAAATGTCTCTTATTAGAAGTGTATAGGAGGAATTACAGGAGTTTATTTATCTGCAGCAGTCCTCCCTTTGCGCCAAGGACCAAAGCCCCAAAGAAGTTTCACTGAAATATAATTTACACAGCTATAATCTGCCACTGGCTTCCAGATTATACAAACATACCAGTTACACAAATCCACTCCAAAACATTACTTCTTCCACTGATTAAAGTCGGTAATAACCATTGTACTTCAACCGTATATTAACGATCACTGTTCCAGAAATGGATGACCCATTCCGGGCTCCTATGGAATTTGTTTAACGAAGCAATTATGCCCCTCAAATGTCTATTACAAATCATCTTAACACGTGTTCCACGCCATTCGCCAATGCCCTTATTCCCATTTAACAATCGCGCCCTGAATGCAGAACTAATTGTCTATAGAATGTCTTTCGGCAGTGAAAATTCTGATTGCTTTGACCCTGCAATAATCCCTCGAGAGTTACCATTAATGCAGGATTTAATAGGTTCTTGTTCCACACACAAAATTTGAATAATGAATAATTTACCACTAAGTTGCTGCAACGAGTTGATGGATCTCGCAAACGAACATCATCGAAAACATTTTTAATGCAAAGTAGTTCACACAGATTGCAGATCAATGCGACATAACTTTGCCATCTTTGAATTTTCAGAGATATGAAATACTAGATGTTAGTTTAAATACGAAAATATTTAAAAAGGCATTGGCAAGTTCGAAATATACTTGAACACGGAAAATGGAAAGTGCAATTCAGACGATAAATTAGCACTGACTTTGATAAAATTAAATACATGAACCTTGAATTCTTACAAATGTTCGGTGACAAAACCATGACTGCGTAAAAATTACTCATAATTCGTATAAAATGTTGTGTCTAGACGATGTGCTATTTTCCAGGTAATTTTCTAATAAGGCAATTTAGAAAACCGTATATATCAGTGCTCAGAAAATTTTCCTTCTTTGTTAAGTCCAAGATTTTGTTTCTTAGAAACAAACAGGCCTTGTAATGGAGTTATGTAATGTTGTCAAAAGTATCATAAAAAATATCTTAAAACGCTGTGCAATGTATTATATTAAGTTTGCTGGAACAAAATAGTGGATTTAAAAAGGGTTTGCGGAATAACGTTCTCGAAAATTCCAAGAAATTTGTTATTTTTCCATCTGTTTAGAATGTGCAATAATTGGCTCTGCTATCAATTCAAATGCAAAATCATCTTTCTTGAATCAAATACCAATGAAGTAAACATTTAGTGACTATTTTTGCAAGAAAGTTAATATAGAGAACTACATACTGTTATCACAACTCGAGTTGAACGTAAATTACGTTAGTTCTTAGGAAAAACATCTAAAAACATACTAATTAACAAAATTCATGCGAAATAGAATAATGGTCATTAAGACTTAACCGGTCAGTAACTAACTCTATAATGTTTACTTAACGAAATATAATTAAATAAAAGAAGTATGTTTGATTTTCCACAGTAAATAAATGAATAGAAGCACCGGAGTTCTTAAGAAACAGATGAACTTTTTATTAATATTATTCGATATTCATTCAGAACGGCAGAAAATGTTCACAAGTATCTGAATCAAAGGAAAATAATCAATAGTTTAGTATGTGTGTAACATTCACAAAAATACATTGCTGAAGCTTTTGCTGCACTCAAATTTTTCAATATATGCTAAAAGAAATCTTAATTTGTATCGAGTTTTTATACATAATTATCAATTTAATACCAAATAATTAAACAAAAGACGGTCTAGCAAAAGGTAGAACAAGTTTGGAGTTTGGACAAACTCTCAACTGAACTGAACCACTCAATACGTAAAATGTTTTCAAATCGAATTAAAATAGTTCTGCTGAATGAATATGAAGCTTTATTGGTAGAATAATTTTGTTTTGGATAGAACTTCATATTTCCTTCTATTTGTCTTTCTTCTCCTTAGGCATATAACCCACTTTTTGGGCCGCTTATTATTTCACTTTCAGCTTTCAATCAATCGCTAAATATATTTATAATATCATCTAAATCAATATTTAGCCAGCATAACTAAACTAAATCGACCGTTTCGCAGCATGTGAGATACAATATGC